CCCCAATTTGGCTACTGCATCGCTCTGATCTGTTTAGCTCACCCAGCAGAAATCACAAGGTTGCTTGATGTGAAAGGTCAGAGTGGCGGGAGCTTTTCTTTAACCAGCACATTTCCCCGTGCCAGCGCATCCACAGGCAGTGGGAGAAGCTGTAGCTTTCAACACGTTGTAGTTGCAAGACATCATAGCCCTCAAAGCATCACCAGAGAATCAGTTGGACACTGACATTATCAGAGGACTAAGGAAGCAAATGGCCAAATAATTGCATCTTTGTCAGTGCCGCTTTACTCCTCGCAGGAGTGTTGTAGGTGATAATTGACATTGTCATCATGTAAACAGCGATCGCCTCTGGGCACTAATGTGGAACATGTGCTGTTCTGAGCCATCCCCGACCTGTGTAAATGAGCACAGCCCCGGCAGCAGCCGTGTCACGGATTACTCAGCAGCTCCAGCCCCGCGAGGGCACGATCAATCTTTTTGCAGACTCAGCCGACTTTCAAGTCACTGATCTTATCTCCGCGGAGCCGAGAGCTGCCCACCGGAGTGCTCAGCACTCAGCTATCCCCACACCGTGTGCGATGTGTGCTCAACTCCGCGGCCTCCAGGGAGGGATGTGCTGCCTGCACGCCCTGACCGGCATCGCAACTCAGCATCCAAAATTCCTGCAGGTCCGCAGGGAGGAGCACGCGAGCACATCCGTAAAGCATGCCCAGTGCAGGACTGAGAGCATGGATATAAAACCCCCTCCGCTAACGGTATTAATGTGTCTAATGAATTAATGAACTTCTAAGTGCAGTACCTACAAATGTTGGCCCTCATCCTCCAAAAGCCCGTGTGTGCTTAAATTCACAAAACCAGGAAGGTTTCACTGATGTAAATGGTATTTCCATAAAGCAATGTGCCCACAGAATAATTTTACAGGATCGGGGCCTCAGTTAATCACTATAACTCCTCAATATGCCGTTTTTCAAAGTTATTTATAGAACTTCGGCTACAAGTGAGATCTTTATATTTTTTCCTTTCTTAGACAAAGAAACGATGATTTAGGCAAAATAATCAGTTTCTTCCACAGACATACAGAAATACTGCCACCAAAAAGTGAAATAAAAGGAATCTAGTGTGGAGAAAATAAAGACCTCTAATAAATGTGGTGACTGTAAGAACAAAAGTAAAATAGCTTATACTGTTGTGTATCTGGGGCAAAGTCCAAAAGCTGCCATTTACATGAGACCACTTCATACACTTAAAGGGCAATATAAACAGAGAAAAAAGGTTCCTATGGAACAAGACACTTGCTGCTTTAAAAGTCATTATTAAAGCAAAAGTGCAAAATGGGAAATCACTGTCAGTTATAACTGTGGTAAAGTGAAAAGAAGGAAACATTAATGACCTGAATTGCCCAGCCACTATTATTAAAGTTGTGTGTTCACTTTTCACTTAAGCATTCAAGCACCTGTCAGAAGGATACTTCAAAAACCAAATATTAATCCTTCATGTTCGGTTATTTTTGAATTTATTAAGTGCCTGCTCAGGAACTATGCTTGTGCTAAAGTCAAAATTAGCCCCTTTGTCTGTTGGAGGTTTTAATGTATTTTTCTGGCAGAATGAATCCTGAGATCTTCAGCAAGGGGCCTTTGTTATGCCATGGAGAATGAGAGGCAGTGGAAAGGAGAGAGTACACTCAACAGAGCTTGCAGAGTAGGTCAGGCCCAAATAGCTGTGGTTGTGCCATCTGTCAGCACTAATCAAGTCCTTCCTTACCTCAAACCACCACTTGTGCTCCTGGGAGTTACAGCTGTCCCAGACCAGAGAGGAGGAGGGGGAAAAAAAAAAAGTGCTGGCTATTACTGCACACTATTGAGAGTGTTTTGAGAACTCACACAATGCACACACACTCTCCTATTTATGTGAGGTCTTAAAAAAAGTCATCAGCTTGAGCTAATCCAACTCCCACCACCCAATTTTAAGAGGGTTCTCCAGGAACTATTCTACTAATAAAGTTTAATAAGGCATTTTTGACTAAAGATGTGAGGGGGTGTAGGCAAGAGGGTTTTACTTACGTTCACCCTCACTGAACTGCTCCAGGAAAAATGCTGATTACGCATTTAATACCCTACAGACCCCAGTTTTAGGTAATGAACTAATGAATTTAAACTCTGAGCACAGCGCTGCTGTTGGAGTGAACTCATCCCGTCACGCTGCAAATACAGTCACTGCTCCTGCCACCACGTGCCTCCATCTGAGGCAATGCATTGAGTATTGCAGACCACATGGCAGATTTAGCTCCTGTGTTGGTGACTAGCAAAGAAAGCCTCGTGCAATCCGATAGTTGCCAAGGTAACTACTCTTCCAGGGGGAAGATGAAATCCGGTGACGGCCTCTGTGCGCTCCCACCTAACGGAACAGCTGCCCGAGGTAATTCAGGCTCCACAGAAATCCGAGTGCATCTCAGTGGTTTTGTGTCCTCAGCTAAGGCAGACCTGTCTGGGGGTTGCTCAGGGAAAGGAACGCTCTGCACAGCTTTGAGAAAGCAGAGTATCAGCATGGTGTAAGCTCGGCTCTAACAGGGCTCCCTCTGCCCACGTGAGCGCTGCATTGCTCCAGGAAGGAAACAAGGATTACCTTGGTGGGGCAAATACAGTTGTCTAGGACATTTTGTGTAGCTGCAGGGCAACATGAATTCCTACTGACAGGGCAATTTCTGAGTTCAAATGCACCCGGGGCTGCTAAAAAATGCACCAAATTTTGTTACTCCCTATATTTTTTGAAAACAATACCAAAAAGGGTCTAATATTTTCCAGGTATCTGAAGCACAGGATCCTTCATGCACTGACAGTAACAACCTGCCAAAGGCAACGGGGAAAGCAGTAAATACCAGGGACGTAACACAGTCTGACAACCTCAGAGAATCATTCAGGACTTCTTCCCTTCTAACCTATGGACTTGTTGCTGTGAGCTACATGCACAGTGTCTCAGTTCTTCCCATGGAAACCAGGACACCTCCATCAGTTGATGTCAAAAGGCATCTCAGCCAAGCAAAGAGATGGACCAGGAGTTTTTCCTAGTGTGTCTTCAAAATGAGGTCATGAGGAAAGGCTGCCCAAGTTGAACTGCATGACCCATAAACTGAGTTGAAATAAAAATCTCCATGTTTTTAATTGTGCATATCTACCAAGAAAGCAAAGCGCACAAATGCCTTCACAATAGCCACAAGGGTTTGTCCACTGAAATGAAGCCTTAATTGGGCACTGAAATGCAAAACAATCTGCTTGCAGAGAAGAGACTCCTATGACTGAAAGTTTTCTACTACTCATCTTTAGCACTGCCAGCAGCTTTCCCCATGAGCAACAAAGTCTGGTGCTGAAGTTTTGCATAGACTGGCCAACTTGTCACCTGTTTTCTTATTCACATCTTCTCCACCTTTCCAAGCAATCACAGCCACTAGTCCAGCCTCCAGCTATTACTCTGTGATGCAATAAACCTAAGAAATTTGTACAGCTAAAAAAAAAAAGCTTTAAAGCTATCTTAAAAGCATAAGCCAGACCTTCATTCTTTATGGCAGAAGGAGCTGCACAGCACAGCAGCTCTAATCCTAAGGAAAATCATACTGTTTAACACTTTTCAATTATTAATCCATTCAAGAATAAAAGTAATCTCAACTGCCAAGGCAATGCCAAATCAAGTGTCAGCACTGAATGTTCAAAAATGCTCCTACATTTTTGTTCAGGCAATAACACAGCACCTCTACAAAGAGCCAGTAACACAATGAGATAATCATTTATCCAAACCAAAAGTGCATGTGTATAATAAACATTAAAAGGGCATGCATTGATCCATATATTAATCAGATTCATAACAATAGACCAATTTTTCTCTCTCTGGGGTGTGAAGAACAAGGTTATGAATCATATTGTGAACACTTAAAGATCACACTTGAATAACCTAATTGTGTACAGCAATGATAGGATGAAAAGAAACTTAATCAAACTCTGAACTGTTGTAAGGTTTCATCCTCCTAAATACAGTTCTGTGACATGACTCTAATAAATTATTCGGATAGAAAAAAAAAAGTTGGTTTACCTTATTAATATTCTGAATCTCATCTATCCATTTTCTTCATGCTTCATCTCTTCATCTGAATAGAAAAACACAATTACAGCAAAAAACACCTGGGTTTAACGCAAGTTTGGTTCTCTTTTTTTGTTACAAATCAAGTAAATTTATACTTTTTATAAATTTACTGCCTAATAGAGAAACTGGAGTTTTGCTACATGTGAAAACTGTCAGCCAATCTTTAAATATTTATCTTTGAATTCCCCAGGTTGCATGTACTTGGAAATGTTTTCATAAATACATCGATAACTGTCTTGTACAGCTCATTAAGGAAGCTTTTTATCCTTTAGTGTAATAGTTCAGTTTACAGTTGTCTGTGAATCACTTTTATGGCCCTCCATTAAGCACGCCCTTCAAACTGCAATTATTTGTCAGATTTTGTATATACGGAAGCAATCACCAGAGAAACAATGAAAGCTGAGAAGATGCATAAACAGTTGGGAGCAGACCTTGGCCCATCTCCAGCAGTGCTTTCCCTTCACGGGGAATGAGATGTGCTTAACACAGACGACCCATGTGAGACAGGCAGGGTGGGCACCCTGGCTGACGTCAACCAGGACAGGATGCCTTGAATTTCCTCCTCAAACACATCATTCCCATCCAAATTTCACTCTTTCTGCTACAGATCGCCCCAGATTTTACTCTCCAAATTTTCCTTACCTATACACATGCAATCACCTCATTTACACCTATATATGCTCATTCTCCAACCCATAGGTCACCTCAAGTTCAGTCTCAAAACTTTCCCTACCTGTTCACAGCTGAGTACCTCATTTTTACCACTAAATAGTCATTCTTTACTCAGGAGATTAAGTTTAACACAAAAAATTTTCCATACCTGCCCACCGCTGACTGCCTCAGTTTACCTCAAAGTGTTCACTCAGACTGCCCCAGATTTTACCCCCAGAATTTTCCCTACCTCACCACATCTGATCACCTCATTTATACCTAAGTATGTTCATTCACTACCCTACAGACTACCTCAAGTTTACTCCCAAAACTTTCCCTACCTGCTCACCACCTCAGCAAAGAGAATAAGAATTCCCTTCCTCTGAGGTCCCAGGACATCACTCTCCCACATGTTGGAGAAAAACACATCAATAACTAGCAGCTTAGTTGAAGATGTCAGGCACCTTGGAGGATGGCAGACACGGCCCCAAGGCTGTACATTTCTCTTGTGTTTCAGCAACAGAGTGAGTTTGTCCTATATATTTAAATATTACACACAAGGTCAATGACTTACAGGTATTATCCAAAACAATAGAGATATAACTCAGCACTTACTGCATATCAGCTAAAGGGATCTACTTTCTTCTAGACTACTCAAGAGGATAAAAAGCGTTTCTTGTGTTGGTTTGTGCACTGTGCAGGGTGATCCAGAGGCTCTGTACACCAGTGTTGCCATGAAATAAGTCACTGCACAAGCCAGGAAGCAGAATCGATGCACTTGTGTGCAGCTTCTACATTATTTTCCACAGCTATCCAAAAATGAAATGTCATATACAGAGACTTGTTGTTTATTGCTTAATTCATCACTTCCATGGCCACAATTCCTGGTGTAGCTGGTGACACTATATAAAGTAGCCTATCACTCCCCCAAAATCAGCAACAGGGTAGATCTACTCTGTTTCATTAAAATTATGAGTGTTAAATGTTCTTTTTTACATCTTCTTCGGCAGCTGCTGAAAAGAGCCTTTTATTCCTTACACTGTTTAACACAACTAACACACTTACTCTGCTCTAATGAATTGCAGTGAAAACTCCAGGTTACAGTGGTGCAAACACTTCCTTGCTCCTTGCAGCTTTAAATTCGAGGAGCTTTAATCAGACAGTTGCACTGCACAGAAACCAGCTGACTGGTGGTGTGGTCTAACTGGCAGCTTCAGGTAACACCAACCCAAAACATTTATCGTTAGGATCTGCAAGTTCAGTGTGAAACCATTATCACCAAGTTTTCACCATTCTCTGGAGACTGAAGAACTGAAAAAAGGCTGTAAAACACTGAAAGTTCAATCGAACCCCTAAAGCAGATATATATAATACAACATAGGAACAAATTCAAAGCCATAGATACAATCAGATCAACAACTCCGGTTTATGTTAACTTGGACCAAAAACAAAAGAAAAAAAAGCAGCTATTAGATATGGCTTCCTATTTCTTCAAGATTAAATAGACTGGGTTTTTTGACAAGGTATTGTGCTGCAAACTAGTCTTTTTCTATTTTGACCGTAAAGTATATAATATCAGTGTAATGGCCAGTCTCTTCGCGAACGAAGAACCGGGGAAGGTCTTTCCACCTTCCAGCCTGCGCATTGGATTTTTTAGGTGAGACACAGTGTGCGCAGAACTGAGCCCACCCTTTAATCCTGAGGTTCATCTGCCGGGGCCAAGCACACTTGGACGGTGGCAGCGAGGTCCTCAGGACGTAGATGGATTGCCTTACAGGGCTAACGAGCTCCATCTGCCCGGGGAGGGGCCCCAACCGGGAATCGAACCCGGGTCTCTGCAGTGACAGTGCAGTGTATTTTCCCCTGGACCACCGGGGGCTCCCAATATCAGTGTAGAAAATATGCATTAATAATGAATTTAATATCAATATTCCGATCCAGAATTTTTTTATAAAATATGAAATCTTCCTCTGCAGATACTCTGTTTTGTTCCAGCTGAATTTGCTCTTCTTTATTGTACAAACTTCAGATGACTCCAAAACAGGTGAATCAATCCACACATTCACCTACTTCATAATACTGTTGGACATAACCTAATTAAATGCTCTGTAAATATCTTATCCATCCTCCTGCCAATACAACATCACTCCTAGAAAACTATTTGCTACTGCTTTCTCCCATTAATTTTTCATGTGTCAAGCCTTGGGTCTTTTGAGACCAGCTTTTTATCTAGATAATCACATTGTTAAAGTTTTTCCCCTATTATTGATTTAATCTTTACTTCCAATTTATCTGTTTCTCCTTATTGTGCCTCTTTGTCTTCCTAACTAGAGGACAGAATGACAGAGGGCTGTTCTGAGCTGAGCTTACATTTGAGCTGTTCCTACCCAGGTTGTGCTAGTTAGTGACTTCACAAGTTTCCCAACAGTCTAAAACAGTTTTGACGGGCCCAGGTTTGCTGATCTTATGCACAGAGCATTTCAAACCCTGCTCCAGGAGTGATTATTTCTTTCTGAAAGCAGCACTGTCTTGGCTTAACAATAAAGTCTGATTTGTAGCGGCTGAATCTGAAACGGGCAAGGTAACAAGCACTGCCTCGCAATGCCCCTCTGCACACATGGTCACGTGTCAGTGTACACACCAATGAATTGCATTAAAGCAAGCAAAAAGAAACTTTGGTAATGAGATCTCTCTTTCTACTGTGGTGTTTAAAAAGTCTTTGTAAAGGTATAAAGAGAAGCACACCAGTTTTTGTGGAATCACTGCTGTCAGGATCTGTTGCACTGTTCAGCCGTCACAGCTGCAAGACTGCTCTGGGTACCGTTTTTGATGGTATGTTTTCCAACCTCACTCCACTTCTACTTTGCTCACAGGTTCAAATCACAGATCTTCCCTTGGAAAAGACCTTCCTGGTATTTTCCCAGCTGGAGCTGCTGCAGGGATGCTCCAGGATCTAGGAAGAGAGGGAAAGTGCTCTGAAGGACAGTCCTGGTTACCAGCGGCCAATTCTCCATGTCTGAAGGGCAGCAAAGGCAGCACAACCCTGGGCTCTGCGTCACCTCATTATTTCTGATTGGAAGTGGTAGGAAATGAGACCACTAAACAAACCTTCCATTTGCCATTCACACTGGGGTAAACCAAAGCCTAAATATAGCACTCACCATTAAACAGCTTGACACTGTCTCTGCAGTTTCCATGGCATCTCCCTTCACAATGCCATTCCATCCGAGCTGCTGCAGGGTGGCCAGTGCTGGGGGTTTTAAGCTTTTTCCACTCACACTCTTATAAGGTGTAAAATAAAAAATAGGCAAAAAGCAGAATATGCATTATTTAACACGCCAGATTTGCTTGAGTTTCCCAGGATAAGCTTCTGAAATGCTTGCCTTGTGTTAATCCCCTTAAATTTAAATGAGGCAAATATCACCCTAAGACATTTGAGCCTAAATGTATAAAGTTCCTGTTCCTGGGATTTCTGGTCATCCAAGTGAGGCCACTGAAAGTGAAACTCATCTTCAAATTGCTGAGTGCACATCATCTTCAGATCACTGAAACTGCTGAGCTCAGAATTCAAAACCAACAAAGCTGCAGAGCTGCCAGTCGTCTGAATGGACAGCTGTAGAGGAAATAAGCATTAAATCCATTCAAACACTCCAATACCTAAAATATGTTAATCCCTAACAAAATAATTAATGAATAATGAAGGCTTAGAAAAATTACATCGAAACAGACGTAATTTAAAAGATGACTAAAGAATGAAAAGTGAGTATTTAACAGTTCTCTGAGTGGGAGACTTGCAAATCTAACCAAAAAGAGTGTGACTAATTCTAATTTCAGACATTCATATTTTCAATCTTTTTAATAGCTCATTTTCACTCCCACATACAGATGGTGTACAGGCTTAATAATCCTTCTACGTTTAGTAATTCATAGCAACAAACAATCTTATGGACTTACAGCCAGACCAGGAGTTTCAAGTCACACCCATGCAATCAGAAAATGCCACACAACAAATTAGCTCAGCCTGCCCCTGACACAGTTTGTCTGATATTAGGATTCCATGAATTACAGCTCTGGTTCGATCAATATATTCCTGAAACCTCACTTTGAATCTTTGTGAAATGAAAGCTAAGAAATTTAATGTTGCATCCTGGGGAGGGGGGAATAAAAAAAAAAAAGAATCAAGATTTCCCTGCAGGACATGGGGCTGGTTAAAACCAAATCCCATTCAGAAGTTCCTGAGGCACTCCAGGCAACATTCTATGCATCCCCACAGCTCTCTCTGTTGGAGACGCTGACTGGGACTCATTCACAGAGTGTCACAGGTGGCTATCTGGCCAGTGGTTAAAATTGAATTCAGGCTTTTATCATTCCTAACATGTTCTATTTACTTGATATTAAAAGATGGATTACATTTTTGAAACTATCTCATGTAATATTCTTGCCAAATGCCATAGCAATAACAAGGGGGAGATTAAATGCTGAATAGGGCTCTGCTTTTAAAATAAAAAATAATTCTTTAACAGAATCTCCCCTCTAAAATCCACATGTTTGTATTACTCAGCAGCTACCACAACCCTCGGTTATCTTTAGAGGTGCAAGAGTTCAAGTTCTTTTTGCTTTGTTTTTTTGCTTAGCTGCAAATCCTTGGGAGCAAGAAAACAAAACCAACTCTGCAAGTTATTATGCAAGTGCATAATATCGTATTCAAACAGAAGGATGGCTACCTCCCAGCTAGTCATTAATTCCCAAGGTGATTAAAACCAAAGCAGACCCTTCCTTGGCAGGAACTCTGCATAACCTGACCTGAATGAGGTCCAGCTCCTCTGTGTTCCAGTTGAGCAAAGCTGCTCCTCCCCTTGACATCACCACATCCCACCACAGGGAAGGGATCTCCTAAAGCTCCCAAACACCGGTAACCAGGACCTGCTGCAGGACACCTACAGCTGGACACCAGCAAGTCATTCACAGAGCTCAGAAGTCCCCATAGGGAAACAGCGACCAAGGAAAGCCATTCCAGGATGTCCCTGTGCTCTGTCTGGACCATCTATAGTGCTGAAATCAAAAGACTTGCATCTTCCATTCCTCTGTTTGGCCCAGTTCAGCTCTCCAGCAGTTGCATTTTGTACTATATCCAGTGTCCTTTTTTCCCCCCTCACTGTTTCTTTCATCCATCTTTTTTTCCACAGAAGAAAGTTGAAGCCACAAAGCAAAGCAGAGCCAGGAAGAACTTCCACAACACTCCCTCTACTGCAGACATTCATGTGAACAACTGCTAAACAGTGGCTTAGCTGAGAGCCCAAACAGGCAGAGCTCTTTCCACTACCTTTTCTTCACTTTCTTTAACAGCACCAAAATAATATTGATATTTTTAAGCCAAGAAGGATGGGGTCTGGGTAGGCATTTTACTGTGGGATCAAACATTAACCAGACATAATCCTATGGCTTCAGAACATCAACCTCTTTCCATCAGCTACCTGAGCAGCAAACACATGTAGCTGTAATCCCCGCCTTACACCTCAAATCCCAACTGCCAAGGTTAATCTGCCCTCAGCCTCTCATGTTGGGAGTGTTGTAGCTGAAATACATCCTGAATGCACAAGAAACATCCTGCAGAAATCTGAACTCCATATATTGCTGGGTCTGATTTTGCAGCCGTATCTTTAGACTAATCTTTTACAAAACACTATATAAAGGATTTAGCAGTACCACAGAGTAATGAGCAGGACTAACCAACTGGAGGAACACAGAGCAAGCCAACTGCCTCATTCTAATGGGCTATTTACCACCACCACCAAAAAAATAATCCCCAACCAGTCTAAAATATATACAACAGAGGAAATACATTTTTGCCGTGACAAAACTCTCAAGTCCTTTCAATTCATAAATGAATAAACCATTGGAAAAACTGTAGATCTCTTGTCAAAACAAACAAACAAACAAACAAACAAAAACACTGAAAAAAAATCTTTTAAGTGGTAAAAGTGAGCACTTATATCCAACAAATATGCAAAATGCTCCCTTTAACCTTTGCTGAAGGCTATAGAAGTATGGACAGAATGTTTTAATATTTTAATAAAATAAAAAGGCCCAGATTTCTCCCTCCACATTCCAGTCTGCATTTCCAACCTGCAGTCGGAATACTCCTTATGCCAGATATTATTAAATTGTGAGTCACAAAGCCAGAAAACCAATAGAATTTATATGGCCTCAAACACCCCAAAAGACATTGTTAACAATTTGCTGCTGATTGCTCTTGGACGCCTTAAAAATTCCCTCTCACAGGTGTCAGTCCCCCCGAACCAATTTGTGTAGCTGCTGTGAGAATTCCTCTGGCTTCATTCTCCCAGTGGTGTGGAAACACTCCATGTCTGATGGTGAACTGACTGGAAGTTCTGATTGCACTGAGTTACCTCACACATGTCATGTGTGTAGTCCCTTAGTCAGTCACACCAGGGGCTGCAGTGGTGGAGATGCTCAGGAACAGCAAGGAGGGAGCTGAGCAAATGCCTAAGAAACACCCTTTAAAGTGGGCTCAGACAAGTGTTACAAAATGAACAGCCCTACTAGAAAATCACTGTTGAGCAGATTGTAAAATTTAACTATTAGAGCAATCTCAGACATCTCTAAGGGTATGGAAATATCCACAAGAGAAACTTAACCAATTCTTTATCCAACCTGAGTGACAGAGAACAGTTAAAGTCCCTGTAAACCAGATACAGCTCATGTCAAATACTGACAACTGCTTGTGAATGGATTCAGAAACCCATGACTTCATTTCAATGAATTTGGCTAGTGATGTTGTTTCAATCTAAGCATTCACAAACAGATTTGTGAGCAGGAAGAAAAGAAAGGAGAACTCAGGTTATCCCTATTATTTGCCCATGAAGTGTTCTTGATATTTTGGGGGGCTCTCATCAGTATAATCTGTCTTTCAGCTGCTCTTTTAAACTCTGTCCTCTCTCTCCAAACCCATAGAAAAACTTGTATTAACTCAGAAGCTAAATATTGTTTTTTTTTTAACCAGATCTTCTGTACACATGAACAGTGGCTCTGAGCTCTTCAGAGCGCTTTGCTACTTCAGAAAAAGACCTGTCCTTACAGAGGAGAGATTTTTCATTGTTGGCTACTAAAGCACTGAAAAGCTCCAAATTGTCACCAAAATCACAAAACAGAAGCTTGTGCTACAGGCAGCACTATAGAAAGTGCTCCTCAAGTTCTGCCTTGTGCCTAACAAAGATCTCATCAGAACTGACAGCTGCTTTTCCTGACAGGAGATGTTTCCCACAGGTAACAAAAGTGTTCTCAGAGCTCAGCATCTCCACTCAATGCTGTCTCACCCTCCTAGTGGCCTTCTACAGGCAGCAAATACACAGGCAGAGAGGCCTGGGCAATGAGAACAGTTTGAGATATGGGAGAAAAGCTGCTGCTGAACATTTTGGTTTGGCTGGGGAGAAAACGTTTCCATTTGGGGGCATTTGGGATTATCACAGCAGCTTTTGAAGGGTCACGAGAATTTGGAAGAAATCAGATCCAACAAGTCAGACCCTGCACATCCCTTTGTGTTTTGTGCAGGTCAGCTGCAGGAGGAATTAATAACCTCTTGAAATTGCACCCTGGCCTGATGGAGCCAATGAAGTTGCTGGCAGCCAACAGTGTCACCAAAGGCTTCCCTGGAAGTCCTCAGCTGATTGTAAACAGTACCCACAAAGAACAGGCAAGCAGCTGAGGCAAAGTCATTCAAAGTTGCCACCAAAGTTAAATGTGCTTGCAGTATATTGCTACCATTAAAATGACTGGTTTTTGCCAGCAGTAATTACCGAGATGTCAAAAATCAAATTATGAATTAGTTCAATAGAAAGTCCAACCCGAAAGTGAAGGGCAGATCCATCTCCCCCGGCACACACACACACACCCCCAGGGCACGGTGTGTTTGCACAGCCCCAGCACGTTCCCCCTGCACAGGCTGGGGCTGCACCTGCCCGAGGTGAAGGGCAGGTCTCCTCCCTAAAGCCATCAGTTCACATCTTTCACAGCTCCGATCAAAATGCACTCACCAAACGAAACAGAAATAAAAGCGTCGTCTCGATCCCACATTTAGTGACTCAGTGAACCAGAAGGCAGGTTGCGGACTCGGCGGCTGCTGAATCAATTAACCCATTAGGAGGAATTAAGCACGACCAGCTTTGCATTTACCGTAGGAAAATCTGGAATTCAAAAAAAATAAAACTGATTACGGTTACTTATTCCTCATGACTGAATATCTTTTAAGTTAATGTAACAAGATAGAGAACATTCAAATGCAGGGACAAGCAGAAAATCCATTTATTCAAGGTTTTGCATGTTAGACCTCGCTGTAACTCACTAGTGAACTTCCCAACAGAAGTTGTTATTGAGTTTAAATTTTAGGTAAAATTTATTCCTTAAAGAGGAAGAAAATTCTTGGCACTCCTCGTAGGTAAAATCAGGTTTTAAATTCCTTAAACTGCAATTGCTCAATTTGCAAACAATCTTGTCAGTAAAGTAGGTGACTAACTTCTCTCTGATCATGCAGCACTTGTTTGCAGGGTTTGATTCAGGGACCTGGGGAAATGTGTTTGGGTAAGGAGGATCAAGGAGCAGTTACAGGAGCAGATAGAGGTGTCTGCTCTCTCCTACCTGCAGGAGCTCCCTGGCAGCTCCAGGAACAGCTCTGCCACCTCCTGCTCTCAGCTGACAACTACCAAATTCTGAGTTGCAGATTAGCACTGGTGAAAGAAGAGGTCAGCTACAGCTCTAGAAGTAAGTTCATTTCCCCAGCACCTTTTGTACCTCCCTTTTTTATATCCCTGGAGAATCTTATCCATTACATTAGTAATACATAACGATTACTCAGTGCTTGTTGTCTGTAGAGCTTGACACCCTCCACAAGAACTGGCAAATACTCTATTTTCAAGGTTCAGAAAAGAAGTGATTAAAGGAGACTCAGTGGTTATTTCAGGTGAATAATCCAGGTCTGCTGAGTCTCAATCAAGATGATTTTCCTATCGTATTTGTTAATGGATTTCAGGCAATTATATCTGTATTTAAGCACAGAAACTGTAGCAGTTAAAAAAAAAAAAAAAAAAGAAAAAGAAAAAGGACAGTGAATTTTCTATGTGTCACATAAACATAATTCCACCTCTTAAAAGCACCAGACCCTTTAAAATCATATTCTACTACTGCATTGGTATTCCATTAGAAAAGGGTCAAGGAGGGGTCACCTCAAGACACAAAAACATTTTCAAATAACATTATGAAAGCTAAAAGTGAAAACACAGCTCAAAATGCAGATTTCCAACAAACAGCTCGAGATATCTTCATTCAACACATACTTGTCCTAAATATAAAAGATGCACTTGTAGAACAACTTTGATAACAAAACAAATGCACAGATTGGAGAAAAAACAGTTTGTGTCTTACTAGTATTCAAAAGTTAGATATTGAAAGGAGAGGTTCAAGGATGCTAAATGTGCCAGAGGAATAGAAATGTTACTTATAATGTTACACAAACAGAAAGATTGTTGATTTCTTAGTGGTTTTGTAAACTTTTCATAACATATTTTAACAAAATGACAGTACAAAGGTTGAGTACTCCTTTGACAGAACAGGTCTTAGGTGAATTTTGTTGTGTTGTTTGGTTTTTTTAATTGAATAACCCCACATTTTTGCATAACAGCTCTGAAGGAGAACTCATGGATACCTGTGGAAACTATTTTATAAAACAACTAATAAATTTTGTGGGTCTAGGTTGTAAGTTTGGGTCACAAATATTTAGCAGACACGATCGGACAGGATTAGATCTGCCCATGACAACGTTACATCTCCTTTCCATGGTGCCACTAAAATATCAACCATTGTTCCTAAGGACTTAGTCTTTACTTATGTAAGATATTAAAAAAAAAAACAAAAAAAACAACACCCACCCCTACACTACAGCACAACAAACCTCATTGATTTCTCAAGATGAGACTGCCAAGAAAAATGGCTTTCATCACACTTCATAATAAATTTATCTAAAAAGTCATTTGTTTAAAGTATTGCCTCAGAAAGCTCCCCTGAGACGTGCCATCTTGATGGCACTCTTTTCATTATTCAAATATAATGAAGTGATTCTGCATGGTTATGCCGGACTATAAATCACTGCTGTAAAAAAAAGGCATGTTCAGCATGTTAACAGACCAAAGATCAGATTTTGAAGAGTGTTTTATTATTGCACGTGCACTTTATCACTCGCACGTACACAGCAGATAGCGGCTCACGGCGCTTTCCCAAATTCCATCATTATTAAATTTGGGAGCTGACAGGGGAGAGAGAACTTTAGGCTGGGACTTATTTTGCAGTTCCTGTCCAGTGCTGTTGCAAACTGTTTAACCTCCCTGCAGTATCACACATGCACATCAGAATACTGGAAAAAGTCAGCAAAAGCAGAATACCAGTAGGAGTGGTTTTTGCAGCCAACTTCTGGTTTACAAAGAATTAAACATACAGGCTCCATCTAATTGACTGAAAAACTGAACTCAACTGAAAAATCAGCTCAGAGAAGCATTCACTTTTAGATAAGAGTGGAGGGAGTCTAAAAGGACTTGTCTTCCCTCCAAGGCTGCTGGGAATTATTTTTTAAGTTAATTTATACCCCATCTTACATCTGAGTAAATGTCAAATGCTTCTCTAAGGTTGCAAACTAAACCCCAGTGGCAATCTGTTTCACACTGTGGATTACCCAGAGTGAAAATCATTCTAGATTTATAGGATAACATTTTTTAATTTAGTTCTGGTCATGCCTCACAGAAGTTCAAAGTTTTCTATTCTTTAAGAAACACTTGCCTGCAAACAAACAGGATCCCCTTTGTCAGTGCCACACAGACCGTAAGAACACTGAATTACTTCAAACAGGTGAAAAACTAATTAAAATTATAACCTTCTATTATCAAGGTAAGCTAGCAGTGATTTAACTTCCATGCATAGAGGGAACAATCCTTCATGTCTGCATATGGCCCCTCACACGGTTTGTTTGCTTTTCCCTGTTAATTTGGTCCTGAAAAACGATGCAGATGATTGAAGAGTCTGGCCGAGTCCCTACTAAACTCAAGTCAGTTCAGTGCTGCAGTTTTACCTCTGAGCTCACGTGAATAACAGCACTTTGGGGAGATCAGAGTAAGATTTAAAAGTCGTACAAACAAAGAGTATCAGTGGAGTGCAACCAAATCGTAGGAAATATGATAACCTGAGTAAAGCACTGCATGGGCAAGTGAGGATCAGTAAGAGCAGGTAACAAGAAAGTTTTAAAGATTGCATTGTAATTATAATGGCTTTCTTGCATCAATTATGCACTTTTGCTTTCTTGTGTTTGTACTGCCTCTTGTCACCATATCATATATTCATTTAGAATCTTTAAAAACTCAGCCAGAAGATGCAAACAACATGACCACCTTAGAGAGGGACTTAAACTACAGTTTATATAATGCAAGATGAAATATTCCAAGACTTCATAAATCATTTCAACATTAAGGATACAAATCAGGAACGTATGCCCAGTGAGTAATCATGGTGGAATATCATTTAACCTGGATGAGAGGAAAACCTAAAAGAGGAGTGACACTGACAGTGGAAATCATGAAATATTAGTTCACCGAACTTTTACCAGACTTCCTAAAAATGAGAGATCTGCAGGGTGACAAACGGAAGATCTCAGGATCAGATCTGATTAAATCTCAACAGCAA